AGTAGTCCGTGTTACTGAGATGCTATTGATGGTGCATAAAGACAAAGTATGCCAACACGTATAGGACAGAAGCAAAGCATCGTGACAGGAGAGTGTTAGCATTTAGTGAGAACAAATGTCAGTAAACACCTCTGAAGTTTCAGAGGCCTTTTGCAAGAACAGGCATTAGGGAGGATCTGTTGGGGTTAGGATGGATTGGCACTTCAGAACATTCTCCCTATTGTTAATGGAGTGAATCAGCCACTTAATTTCTATTCTATCTGAAACATGGGGAATTCCCAAGAAAAGATTTCTTAATACTCTGTCATGAGCAACAGGGAACATCCCTTGCTTTGCTCCACTTCCCAGCTTACTTTTTTTTTTTAGTAGTAGTATAAAATAACAGTCAAAGATAAGAGGAAGAGAATGAGCACTACACATCATTCGTAAGTTAAATGTTTTTCAAAGCCTGGGTTGGGGGATCACTTGAAAAACAGATGCCAAATAAGGCAAACATCTGAAAACACAGTAATTTATTCTCATGACGTTTGTGCTCATATTTACGGACATCTAGGTGGGTGTAAACATTGACCTGTCTCTCACTTCTGAATATTTGTCTATACCATCGTGATTTCTGACTCTATGCATCCATTTCTCCTTCCAGGAATACCTCTCTGATCTTTCCTTGCCGGATATCTCTATCTGACTCATCATCTATTAGGTGAACATGGTACTATTCTCCCACCGCCAGTCCCCACTTGTTTATAACCCAATTCCAGTGGCTCATCACCTAGAGCAGGCAAAAAATAGTCTGCCATTTTGGCCTCAATGACTGGCTCAGAGAAAGGTTTATCTCAAGTCAGGCTGAGGGGACTCAACCCCAGGACATATGCATATGTCCACTTTCTGTGAGATTGCTGAGTTGGCAGGATATGTATCTGGAGCTTCCATTCCCTCCTGTAAAGGAGAACTTACCAGAGAATGAGGACAATGCACAATGGTGTTTGGGCATTTGTTTCAGTCATATCAAAGCTGGAGCTACTCCTAGACTTTTCAATACCTGGGCTAATAAATTTTTAATTCAGGAAGGAGGTTGTTTCTAAATACAGCTTGAAATGGATTTCTCTAAAGAATCCCTACTGGAATATGCTCTGTTCCCTTTGTTTGGAAAACTTTCTTGCCTTCTCTTTACCTACTAAACTTGTGCTCATTTTACAAAGTCCAGCTCAAACCACACCCTTTCCAGGAAGTCTTCCTTGCATATCCCAACCTAATGAGCTCACCGTCCCTTGACCTCTTACATCACTCAGTGTTCTTAGTTCTTATTCCTTGTCTGCCAGAGATTGTTGACCTTGTAGTGTCAGTCATTTTTTTTTTTCAGATAATCTTATTTCCAAAAGGGTAAAGCCAGTCCTTAAATGTACTGTGTCCTCAGCTTTTGCCATAGAAGGTTATACATAGTAGGTGAGTAATACATATCTGTGACCTTAATGTAATAAAAATAGATATAAGTATATTTCTTATCCACTTGTTAGTCCTTGCATGAAATACATGATAGCATAGTCATAAGGAAGATAAATAGTTACGAAGGATTGCAGCTCTCAGGATGATGCTATCTGGTGTAAAGGGAAGGGCAAAGAGAGAGCACCAGAATTTTTCAACTCATCTATATTGGATGGTGAACATTTCCTATTGCTAGTAGAGAGGGACTCAGGGCTAGTATCTTCATTATTTCTCATGTTTTATTTACAATATTCTCTGCATCATAAGGGTCTTGGTCACACGCAATAATTTATGTTGTAACTGGGTTTTGAGCTAGACCTGTAAATAAAATAATATTTCAGTTACTTAAACCTCTAGATTCTTAGGAGTCAATGCCACCACATTTCAGATGATTTCAACAAAATCACTTAGCTTCCAGTCCCAACCTATACCCTGGCTTCACCGGAGAGGATGGTTGTCTGACTCCCTCCAGCTCTTAGCCACTGCAGTTCTTTCCCATATTCATTCCTCGAGTTTCCTAGCCTCATTCTACAATTTGTCTGCCACCAGTTTGTAAAATGTACTCAAGTCAGTAGACAAGCTATATTAGGATCAACTCATCCAAATTTTCTTAGCAACACTATCTTACATAAGTGTGCACATGTTCTGTGCACAGACTGGAGTAAGTCCAGAAAGTTGCAAATAAAAGTTCCAGTGAACAAAGAATTTTAAGTCTAACAAGAGAAGGAAATCAGTCTTTGCAATGGAAGAGCAGGCAAGGTGAGGGTCAACATTTTTTATTTATTTGTTATTTTTGAGAGAGAGAGAGAGGGTGCAAGTGAGCAAGGGGCAGAGAGGAAGATAGAGAAAATCTCATGAAGAGCATAGAGAGAGATGGAGGGAAGGAGAGAGAGAACCCACGCAGGCCCTGCACTGTCAGTGTAGAGCCCGAAGTGGGGCTCATTCTCTCTCAAAGTGGGGCTTGAGCTCACCCAACTTGGGGCTCAAATTCAGGAGCCATGATATCATGACCTGAGCTGAAGTCAGACGCGTAACCTACTGAGTCACCCAGGTGCCCCACCAATGTTTTCTTATTAGATATGGGGAAAGGGTTTTCTGACAAGTTCTTTTTCATAAAATACCCCTAAGTCTTTTTAAGGGTCTTTTTATTCCATATTCACATTTTATCATATAGCATCAGTCTTCAAGTTAACCATTTTCCCACACTGATCACTACAAGATTACTTGTGAATGTTTATTTTCCTATCCTCGTTGGTAACTGGTGACACTTCAAGGTGAAGAAGGTATTTTTCTTAGTCATTACATATTTTCCTAATGCCAGAAATTACTTCCAACTCTAATCTCACATTGCTTACCCTGTTGCCTGAGAGATTAAAGTTTGCTGCATGAAAATAGCAATTTGAAGAGATGAAAGTTTAACAAATGCTATAAATAGCAACCAACGCGCTTGTCATTAAGTCTACTGCTCCACACCCACTTCCTTTTCTAGCCTCTGTCATTAACTATTATATCTGAAGTGAAACTTGTTTCTAGCACAATCAGTAGAATGAACAACGAAACATAAAGGGATCAAAGGCTTTAGTGAAAGAATTTGTTGTCTTTCACACAGAGAGAATGAGCCTGACTCAGAGAATCATACTGACCAAAGCTCCTTTGGAGTTCCCAAGTTTGATGCCTCTATCTTCTCCTTTCTTCTAGAAATACCCTGAATGCTCAACTTATGAAATCTTATAAACAAAAGAATGTTCATGGGAAGTCATGATTTCCTTAAGAGACTGAATGGGTAATTTATCCTAATACTTACTCTACAAATCATAAGACTAACCCTGGGTGAACAGCCACACACCACATGCTATCCACCTTTTAAAGCAGCCACTTGCCACTAATCTTGGAAATGTATTTATACAAGTGCTAGATCTGCAGGTGCTGGTAGGAAGGGTATTTATAGGGTTGAAATTTTCCAAGCCGAAAATTATTAGGTTCCTCTCAAAAGTCAAAAGTATCATTAGAAAGTTCGTGACAATGGTAGGTAGAGAAGTTGGTTTATCATATCTTCTGAAATATGTGGCTATTTATTTTGGTGTCTGTACTCGTTCTTTTCCTTCCAAGAATAGGCCCAATGCCTTGGTCACTATTGGCCTCTGATGGGATATCCTTGAGTTTTGGCCTCGGTGCCTGCTGCTGTTGGCGCTGATGTGTGGAGTCGCTCTTAACCCTTCGAAAGCACAGGCATCCACAGCTGGAATCTATGATAGCTGAGGTAGCTTCTTGTGGTGAGAACACACATGGATGTTGGGATGTTGGGAACCAAGATGGTGCCACCTAAAGTACTTTCTGACAGAACACCATGGGGCTGTTTCCTCTCTGCTGCCACCAACCCCACTGGAGCAGGACACCTTGTGAAGTCATCTCCTTGTGGTTCCAATGCAGATGGGGGGCATAAGCTACTCTTTTTCATTGTATCTGAAGTTTCTATCATTTCTTCACTCACTCTTCCCTCAGAGTGAAACCCATGGCAATGTAGGACTGGGTCTTTGAGAAGCAGGAAGCATCTTCATCTCTGTCTTGTGCTCACTTTCATAAAAAGTAAATATGGGTGTTAAGTGCTCTATCTCTAGAATTGATCTAACTGGGTTTAATACCTGGCTCATCCACTTACCAGCTGTGTGACCTTGGGCAAAGCTCTTTCCAGGCCTTAGTTTACACATCATAAACCATTTTAATGACGTCAACCTCCCAGAGTTACAATAAGGTTTAAGTGAATTATCCATGCAAAACATCCAGGACAGTAGCTGAGAAATGGAGAGAGTGAATGCATAGTGTTATAAACTTCTGAATTTTACTGATACTCAAAGAAGAGTTGGTTTCTCTGGGCTGCCTCACCAGTGGAAGCATTCCTGGGGCAGTAAATGAGGTCAGTTACAGACAGCATTTTCATTCTTATGCTCTGATAGCCTCCTCTCTATGTTGAAGACCTCTAAACTAGGAGAATTACACTCAATGATATTAGAGATGAGAAACTGCAGCTGTCACATGAAGAAATGATTGAAAACTATAGCCAAAAATGGTTGAAAACAAGTATTAGGAAGTATATCATGTAGTTAATGAGTATGAATATTGTGTTCTCATTCTGAATAATCATAACTTTCATAGATAATTTTACATTTGTAATTTTGTATTATTTTTCTTGAAAGGGTCCCCCAACGTTTCATCCCCTCTACAACATCTGAATTTGTCACTAAAATGTTCTAAATCTTAATAAATAAATACACAAATAATAAATAAATAAACCCATTTAAGGGTTTCATGCACTCCATGGATGACTCCAGAAAAATGCACGCTTTCCTGCAGTCCTGGGCAGTAGTTAAAGCTTCAGAGGCCTGAAGGGTAAAGATAGGCTGAAGTGCTTTAAAATAAACATTCCTCAGGAGAAAAGTCACACTCACGAGGGGTAAAGAGAGAGAGGATTTTTTTTTTAATGCCGCCTATTTCAAATAAGCCAGTGGCTTCCCAGATGCTCACATAGCAACTCGTGTTTATACCAAACTCACCACACCATGCTAATGTGGACTGATCATTCGTCTCTCTCCAAAGATCTCTCCCAAACGAGGTCTTGGCAAGCAAAAATTTTATTGTTCATTATTGTGCTTCAAGTTCTGAAATATAGTAGGCATTAATAAGTGATTATTGAATGAAAGAATAAATGAAAGAAGGAAAAATAACTATGTTTTCTCATCTACTTTTGACAATTGTTGGATAGAAGGCGTAGAACCAAAATAGCTTTCCTCAGCGTAATAACTACAAAGCGTCTTTCAGTTCATGTTACTTAGGACTTTTATCTCAATACACATGTCAAATGGTAGCAAAATATGAAATGGCATCTGTGAGAAGGTAGAATTTGTGAGGTTACAACTCAGCAACATTTATGTTATTTATGTGTTTCATTGAGACTTTTACTAATTAAACATACCTGATAACACCAGGAGGTAACACACTGAATGGCACACACCAGAAGGCACAAGACATTTCCATAACAAAGAGGGCAGGGTGAAATTAAAAGCCTGCTCCTCTGGCAAGATCATCTTCGGCTCCCACTCAGTTGAACTTCATACCCAGATTGAAGATTGCCATTATGACCGAATGTATGCACTTATCCTTGGTTTGCTACCTTAAGAGCTCATAATACTGGAGCCACCTTTATACTTAGGAATTTCCTGTAATGAGTTTCGGAGATGTGTTGGGGTGAGTCCCAGAAGGAGGCCCAGAATCCAGCTCTTACTCAGATTTATTTTCATACATTGTCCTCATAGGTACGTGAGGAGCCAGTTACTGCTAGTTCACTGTGATTTAAAAGCCCTACTAGGGCACCTGGGTGGCTCAGTCGGTTAAGTGTCTGACTTCTGCTCAGGTCATGATCTCATGGTTCGTGAGTTCGAGGCCCACGTTGGGCTCTGTGCTGACAGTTCAGAGCCTGGAGCCTGCTTCAGATTCTGTGTCTCCTTCTCTCTTTCACTCTCTCTGTCCCTCCCCTGCTTACTCTCTGTCTCTCAAAAATGAATAAATATTGTAAATTTTTTTTTAAATTCCTGCTCTTAGGTTCATTGGTTCTCTTTTATAAGTTTACTTTGAACTCACTTAAGAAGTGTGTATGTGCCTCTGTGTGTGTGTGTGTGTGTGTGTGTGCATGCTAATAGCTAAGAGCCTTGAGTTGTATAGCTAAACTTATGCTAGTTATTTAATCTCTTTGGGATTGAGTGTCCTCAAGTGTAAACTGGAAATAATAAGAGAACTCACTCTCTCACAGATTCATTGTAAAAACCAAAAGAGTTCATGTATACAAAGCACTTGGAACACAGTCTGGCACATAAGTGCTACCAAAGTGTTAGTTCTTTTTACCATTTTCATCAATACAGCATTCCATTCTTCTTAGGTTATGCATATTGGGTTATTATAGTAAATAGGGCAACGAAGGGCAGGTATCTAAGGGGAAAGGATCACTGTGTGACTTATTCCTTGAAATATTTCAACTTTAGTCATAAAGTAGAAGAAGCTCTTTAAGCAGAAACTCCTCTGTGGAGATTCAGGGATGGAGAGCACACAGGCCAGCAGCCCAGCTCTTTACTGGTGATCTACCTAATCATCTGACTGTAGACTGGAAGTAAATGAGCAAACTAAGGGAGGTTGAGGATAGATATGCAACTCAAGCAAAATTTTCTGAGTATTCAATTGTTGTAGGGATTCACTCCAGCCTTTAGCTGGAAACATGAAGGCAACGTGTTAAGGTTTTATTCAATGGGAAATGGTATAATTTAAATAATCTGTCTGCAGAACAACTCACACCAAGCTCATCAAAACCATTTACCCTTCCCTGAGTTCATCATATTGGACTTACCCACGACATTTGACCTGAAACACTCTCCCCTCTTGACTTCCAGAATACCATGCTTGTCTGGCTTGCTTTTCACCCCTTTGTTCACTCATCCTTAGAGGACTTTGCTCATCACCTTCCTCAGCTCCAGGTGTTCTGATTCCTAAGGACTTTGTCCTGGCTTCTCCTCTCTCTCCTTACACTCTTTCCCTAGTGATTCCATCTATCCTTATGGTTTATTTATTTATTTTTCTAATGTTTTTTATTCATTTTTGAGAGTCAGAGAGAGACAGCGCAAGCAGGGGAGGATCAGAGAGAGAGGGAAATACAGAGTCTGAAGACAGGTTCCAGGTTCCAGGCTCCAGGCTCTGAGCTAGCTGCCAGCACAGAGCCCGACTCGGGGCTCGAATCCACAAACCATAAGATCATGACCTGAGCTAAAGTTGGACACTTAACTGACTGAGCCACGCAGGCACCCCTATCCTTATGGTTTAAAACACTATCTAGAGAATAACAAATTTCATAGTTTCATGTTGAGCCTAGACTACTATTCTGACTACCAAAATCATGATAGTCTATTTCCTAATTAAACATCTCTATTTCCGTGTTTCTAATACAATATGCCTGGAAATGAACTTTTAAAAGTTCATTTTAAAATTTATTCCTTCTCTTGGCATTCTGAATAAAGGGCAACAGAAATCTGGAAATTTACCTTGATTATGTCTTCTCTGTCTCTATGTCTTCTATTTTCAAAATCTATCTATAATACACACTTTCTCTCCATTCTACTCTCACCATCATAACTCAAGCCACCTGATCTGCTCTCTAGAAGACTGCAATCACGTCCCACTTTTTTCCCTTTCCTCTGATATATTCTTCATATAGGAATTTGAAAAATCTTTATAAACATGCACTAGAGCACCAATGAAGAAAGCAAATGTAGAGAGGTCAAGCGAACAATGAAAAGTGACTAAGTGGGAGAGTTTTCATACACGGCTGTCTCCTCTTTCTGAGCTCCACAGGGTTGCCACCCATTAATATGTACGTTAGGGCAAAATGGTGGTTGTGCTCATAAGTATGTTTTACTGACTTTCAAAGTATTCTCACCATCCTCAATGATACCAGCAGCACCTGTTTTTGTATTTCACTGTGCTCCAATCGCAATCAATATGCTTGGCCAGTTGGCTCTCAGCATTACTTATCCTTCTGACACACAGGTCTCTGAGCTCCCCAACATTTTCCATGTGGAGATCTCAATACCCATTTCATGTCAGTCACCTGCTCATGTTACCATAATAATGTTGACTTCCACATCACTCAACATGGTCCCACCCATGTGTTTCAACATGAAATTCCTCTCTGTTTGCAGTCCTGTCTTCTCTCACCTCTTCAAGTTCCTAACAACTATGGGATCAACTCCTGAACCTTATCAAAGCTGCTACGTCATCAGCTTCATTCCTACCTGCAGTTCTATTACTTACTGCTTTTCTGGAAGCACCTGGCTTCCTGCAGCGAAGATATCATTTCAAGGAGGAAGCCATCTTTCTCATTCCTCTGATGGAGCCAAACTTCTGTGAAAAAACCACAAAGTAGCATAGTGAGGTCCCAAATGAAATCATGCTTCACCCCAGTTGTGCCTTGTGAGCATTTCTTTGGTTTATCTGTTTTTGATGTTCTATTGAATTAATCCTAATAGTCATTTTAAAGCTTTTTCATTATTTAAAATTTGTTACTTAAAATTACTTAAAATTTCATCCCATTACATTTGTTTTGAATAGAGTGGCTTTCCAATACTTTTAGTGAGTAAGTCAAAGTAAGTCACACTAGAAAAATTCACTTTCTCTTTACACATATTCACTTTCCCTCCTTCCCTCCCTCCCTCTCTCTCTGTCTGTGTCTCTGTCTGTCTGTCTGTCTCTCTCTCTCTCTCTCTCTCTCACACACACACACACACACACACACACGACAGAATAAAATGTAAGCAAACTATATGCAGTTCAGGATTCTTTAGAGAAAACAATTACACGCAATCCAAACTTTCGTTTTTCTTTAGATTTCAATCTGCAAAGACATGCTTTTCCAGTTTTCATATTACAAGCAACCACATCTGATATTATTAAAGTTTCTTCTCCACCTTTAACAGTTAACATATGTAATTAACATATTACTAAAGCCAGACAGCAAGGAAATTGTAAATGCAAAACGTACTTTTCTGATCAGATTGATGCCTCATGCATGTAAAATCCAGTAACACCATCACCCTTCTAAGTCATAATCATTTTGTAGGAACCAATTTTTATAATACTTTATGCACAGCTTTAAGTAATTTTGATAAGGTTTATAACAATTATAATATTAGGGTAATTTTTCCAAAAAGGGATTTAAATTTTGTATATAGTGTCTTCATCAAGACAATATTGAAATTAAACAGTGACATAATAAATTTATAAAAAGACCATAGTTCAAATTTATTTCAAATTTAACATATGCAAAAACTAAGTACCTCATGTATTATCAATTCTTTTAATCTTACAACAAGCCAGTTAGAGGTGTGCTATTATTATCTCCAAGAAACTGAGGATTATGTTACTTGACCAAGTTTACTCAGCTTGAACACACACTTTTAACTATGAAATTTTATATCTAATCTTGTTCAACATCATATTGTTGAATATATTATAGGATCCTACATATAAATCAGAATGAAAAACCTAATATTGAAAAACAAGCATGAAGTAACAGCATCAAATTAATGCCCAGTGGCTCAATTCAAAAACAAAAAAGGGACTTGTTCCAAAAAAGGGACTTGTACTTAGAATTTAATTATCTGTGGAGTGTCTGGGTGACTCAGTCAGTTAAGTGTCCAACTCCCGATCTTGGCTCGGGTCATGATCTCACAGTTCAAGAGATTGGGCCCTGCTTCGGACTCTGTTCTGACAGCATAGAGCCTGCTTGGAATCCTTTCTCTCTTTCCCTCTCTCTCTGCCCCTCCCACCCCTCTCTCTCCAATAAATAAGAACACTTTAAATTAATTAATTAAAGAATTTAATTATCTGTACTCACAAAGCCAATCTAAATAATTGAACACCTACATTGGTGAACAATTACCTCAGTGCAGAAAATTATTAAAGTTTACATCCGTTCACTTTATCAGAAATTTTCAATACTTAACTGGGGGCTGAACTGTTGGTTGTAAAAAAAATTTCCTGGTAATTAAAATTACATATTATAATATTTGTATTTATACCTAATGCCTCATTCACAGGACTACTACGTTTAACTTATAATTTCATCTTCATTTAGTGTAAATGTATTTTGTTCACCAAAGTCCTAGTAAGATTTGACATTGTAATTCTTCCCTTTTTACTGCTCAGAGAGTTACAGTGCTGGGGTCAAAGTCCGAAGATTCCGTTTCCCCTTTATGGTTTGACCTTACTTAGGCAAGCCACTGACATTCCCAGAGTTTCACTTTTCTCCTCTGCAAAGGGAAGATAATGAGAGCTTCCCCTGCCTGCTCCAAAAGGCAGGGAGAAGGGTCAGGAGAGATAAGGTATATGAAAGGGCTTCTGAACCACAAAGCCCAGGGTAATACAGCATGTCCGTCACCTGCCATCTAATTGTTCACGTGAAGGCAAGAAAATTCTCCCCCAGGAACAAGGGGATCAGCCTCAGAACAGGGTTTAACTTGTTCCTTTAAATAATGTAAAATAAAACATAAAGAAACCTCTACAATATTAAAAAAATTTTTTTAACGTTTCTAGTCTTTTTTTTAAAATTTTTTAATGTTTATTTTTCAGACAGAGAGGCAGAGTGCGAGTTGGGGAGGGGCAGAGAGAGAGGGAGACACAGAACCTGAAGCAGGCTGCAGGCTCTGAGCTGTCAGCACAGAGCCAACCAGGGGCTTGAACTCACAAACCATGAGATCATGACCTGAGCACGAGTCTGACGCTTAACCTACTGACCTATCCAGGTGCCCTGAATCAAGTCAGTATTAAAGAAGATTCAGTCATGTGACTGAAAATTTCTTTCAAAGATTCTTTTATCTGTAGCAGGGTCATAAGAGAGAGGCATAAAGAGAGAGAAACATAAAGAAAATACATTTTTTCGTCCATAACTGAATAAGTTCTTTCGTTGTTGCTAAAGGTACATACCTTTAAGCATTTAGATATCCCCGACAAGTTTTCATTTTTAAAACAAAATCCTTTACTGGAATCCATATATTCTTGAGAAGCCATGTGCACTGTTCGCCGTGCAGAGAGTTCTGCCACTGCCAGTAATAAGACATGGGGTGCCTTAGTCTCATTCTTTTGAAACTCGTGACAGAGGAGAGGAAGTCATGTAGGGAAAATAGAAAACACAAATGATGTAGCGTTGAATGGCACACATAAAAATGTATCTTCTGTATCCCTTACTCTTTTCCAGAGAACTTAGTGTTCTTATCACAGTCACCTTCCTAGCAATACAACTGGGAATCATAGCCCAAAGCCACACAGATATTATTCCATGATTGTATGTAAAAGAAGTGAACTGACTTAAGAAATCAGATAGTTTGACAAATGTCAACATAATATATTTCTTAGTAGTTTTTGTAATAGGGGTACTAGCAGAAGAAATGATTCTTTTTTTGAGTGAGGATTATCACATGATTTTGATTGAATTAAAGTAGAAAGAGACCCCATTAGGAGCTCTAAGGTTACCAGCCATGGAACAAAGACTTTCTCTGAGCCACAGCATGGCGTCCTCTAACATCATGGTAATTATGCCTGCTATGCTTCCGTGGACCTAATGAAATTTCATTCATTCATTCACTCATTCATTCATTCATCAAATCTTGGGCACCTGACGTATTCAAGAAAGTAGGCTACACACTGCAGCACGTTTGATGGTGTTTAAAATAGCTTCCATTTTGAAACAGAAACCCTCTTGCACTGTTGATGGGAATGCAAACTGGTGCAACCACCCTCAAAAATAGTGCTCAAATAGATTCCTCAAAAAATTAAAAATAGAATTACCCTATGACCCAGAAATAGCACTACAAGGAATTTACCCAAAGGATACAGGAGTGCTGATGCATAGGGGCACACGTACCCCAGTGTTCATAGCAGTGCTTTCAACAATAGCCAAATTATGGAAAGAACCTAAGTGTCCATTAACTGAAGAATGAAGAAAGAAGATGTGGTTTATATATATAATGGAATACTACTTGGCAATGAAAAAGAATGAAATCTTGCCATTTGCAACAATGTGGAGAGAACTGGAGGGTATTATGCTAAGCGAAACAAGTCAGTCAGAGAAAGACAGATATCATATGTTTTCATTCACATGTGGAACTTGAGAAACTTAACAAAAGACTATAGGGGAAGTGAAGGGAGAAAAAATAGTTACAGAGAGGGAGGGAAGCAGGCCATAAGAGACTCTTAAACACAGAGAACAGAAGGTTGACGGGGGATGGGGGAGAGAGGCAATGGGTGATGGGCTTTGAGGGATAAGCCCTGAGTGTTGTATGTAAGCGATGAACCATGGGAATCTACCCCCAAAACCAAGAGCACACTCTACTCGCTGTATGTTAGCCAAACTTGACAATAAAATTATATTAAAAAATAATAATAAAATAAAATAAAGTAGACTCCATTTTAAAATGAACTTAACACCTAAGAGTTAGATTAATGACATCAACACCAAGAACACTAAAAACAAGTTGAAAATGTTAAGAGCCGTATGAGGCTAAAATAACATGATATAGAAATTCATGTCAGGAGACAGTGCTTTGAAACTGCAATATGCTATCCAGATGTCCGGTTATCAATAGAGGTCAGGATATGATGAGACTGAGGGGGGGTTCTTGATGGCATGTTTCTGCAGGCCTTCCCTTACCCCTTATTTACCTTGCTTAATAAAGTAGGATAGAAATCAATTACCTAATACAGTCCCTTACAAACTCTATATGCTCAGTAAATATTTGTCAAATAAATGAATGCTTAACCAACTTCTTCTCAATGTTATCTGAAGGAATACTTGGTAAAATTTATTTTTGTTAGAAATACAAAAGCACCACTTAAATTATTCTTAACTAATAATAATACTGCTATTTTAGAATCTGTTTTAACTGCATGCATTTTGTGACATTTGTTCCAGAAGAAAGAGCCCATCTTATAGACTACCTCGTGGGTGCGGTATGAAAAGGTGGAAAATGCATTGATTTGGGAACCAGAACTTCTGGATAAGAATCTTTGTTCTGACACCCACTGGCTTTAGGAAAACGACAATTTTGTACCTTAGTTTCCTGATTTGTAGAATAACAGACTAAAAGAGATGATGTTAAGATCCCTTCCAGCTTTACCATTTTTGTGCCTCCACACAGGAGATAATTAATTAAAAAAAAAAAAAACATTTATAAAATGGACTTAAGTTACCAGGTAATGGGCTATTACCATGTTTTAAAATATTACTGTATTTTTTTGATTGCTAACTTGTGTTAAATCTATAAGATTATCAAAACTTTCAAAACACATCCAGATATGCTAATGTAGGTAAAAGGACTGGCTTTGCGCCTTCCCCCCACCTATCACTGCACACACACTTTCGGCTATTTGGGGAGTGACCTGTGATGAATTCTACATAGTGAAGGCTTACTGAAGGGCATAATTTTTTAAGCGAATTGGAGTAATTCTGGATAATCAAAGAAGCTTTAAGTTTTTAAAGACACACCCACTTTTCCGTTCTGCTAAACTTTGTTCAATGAGTGACAAAAGCAGCCTGGCCAACCACTTGCCGAAGCAGTACATTCAAATAATTTTATTAATAATAAATTCAGGGTAGGGGCACTTGGGTGGCTCAGTCAGTTAAGCGTCCAGTTTTGGCTCAGGTCATGATCCCGTGGTTCGTGGGTTCTAGCCCCGCATCAGTCTCTGTGCTGACAGCTCAGAGCCTGGAGCCTGCTTCAGATCCTGTGTCTCCCTCTCTCTTTGCCCCTCCCCAGCTCGTGCTCTGTCTCTCTCTCTCTCTCTCTCTCAAAGATAAATAAACATTAAAAAAATTTTTTTAAATAATATCTGGGTTTTAATGATACAACAAACATGTTACACACTAATCACAAGACTGTAATCAAAATGGTCTTTTAAAAAATGCACATATGACGAAGTTTGAATGAGCCTTCCTAAAGGTAGGAGATCTGAAGTATCCCAAAGTAGTCAAGGTAGAAAGACAATGCAGTATTTATTAAGTGTCTGCATTGTGTGTGACTCTCTGCTGGGTTGGGCCATTAACTACATTTACCCATTTTAAAACTGTCAGAAACTAGCAAGCCTTGTAACCATTTTAAAGATAAATAGTCAGAAAAGCAAGCCACTGAAAATGGCAGAGCTAATTAGATTTGAACTCAAGTCTCTGAAAACACTCTGCCTACCACCATACTACCTCCTGTTAACTATGTTTAGTGTATAATATATTTTAGGAGATAAAAATATAAATTGTAAACATTCCTGTAAAGCATCTTATGCAAATCAAGAACCCTGTTGATAATTCATGAAGTCCCATGCTTGGTGCTTCCTAGATTCATTCTTGTTCCTGGAAAGCAGCGCTGCCACCTACTTTCAATGCCAACTTTTGGCCTCCCTCTGGTTCTCTTTAAATGTCACTTCCTGAGCAGGCAAACATAGATTTCGGATGTATAAAATTCTCCTCTTACTCTTACGTCAGCCCGTGCTTTTCTACATTATCCTTTACTCCACATGTCTTACACTCACACTGAACTGCAACATCCATGGGGACAGAACCATATCTGCCTATTTATTACTGGGTCTCCACCACCCGCATGTGGCTTGGCATACAGCAGAGGTGCTCAGAAACATCTGTTGAGTGAATAACACGTGCATGCAATATTGTGAAATGTGCTATAAGACTCTCAAGAAGTATATAGCCTTTAGGTAACCGATGTTGTATATTTTTGTCTTATAGGATCGCTTACAAAATGAGAGTATATGTTTTTCACTTATATGTGGACTCCGAAAAACAGAACAGGAACATGAACAAACAAAGAGCGGAAACAGACTCATAAATACAGAGAACAAACTGATGGTTGCCAAAGGGGTGAGGGTGAAAGAATGGGAAAATTGGGAAAAGGGGAGTAGGAGATACAAGCTTCCAGTCGCGGAATGCATAAGCCTTGGGGATGAGAGATACAGCATAGGCAATAGTCAGTGGTACTGTAATAGACCTGTATGGTGACGGATAGTAGCTCACTTGTAGTGAGCATAGTGTAATGTGTAGACTTGTCAAGTCACTATGTTATACACCTGAAACTAATGCAATACTGTGTGTCAACTATACCTCAATTAAAAAAAAAAAGACCTTCAAAGGTCTTGTAGTTAACAAATTAGAGTACATTAACTGATTAGAGAATGGAGACCTCAGCGTGGGGTCTAAACTAAAATTGTTTCATTTGTAAATCATTTGTAAGTAGGTTCATGAAGTGCCGCTTCATTTTGATTTGTTTTGTCATTTCCAGAGAACTTCTAACAATGGGGGTGGGGGGAGGGCTGCATCCTGGGCCAAAAAACACATAATAAGGGCTCCTTTCTTCTTTTGTCTATTTTGCTATACTTCTCACTGCCAAAAGATGGCAGTGTGTTAGAGAATGACAGCCTTTTTAAGTCCGAGCTGACCGGCAGGCCAAATAGTTGGCTATTGCCCTAAAGAACTCACCTGGTTTTGCAAATATCTTGTTTCAGAAAGATATCCAGAGTGGAAACCCAGGGCTCCCCAGGGAAAATGTACCTTCTCGTTGGGTCCATGATCAGCCTTTGTTCAGGAGAGGAGAGCTCCTGGATGACTGTTGTTACACAAAGATGAACAAACAAATTTGAGCCACAAATGAAAAAGAGATTATTTAATGCCAGAAATAAAGATATTACTGGCTTCAGATTCCAAATGCCAGTGCTCTGATCAATCCATCTGTTGAATGCACATGGAGATCAGCCTTCGCTGACTGATAAGCCTAAGAGATGTCTCCTAAAATCTTTTTATTTTCTTTAATGGGAAGTTAGGATTGATTTAATCTTTTTTACAAGCTCTATTTTTTCAAATTTAATTTACAGCAAAAATATCACGAGTAAGGTTGAGTTTTGGCACAGATGTAGACTTGATTAGTTGTTCTTGAAGGCTACCTCAGGCTCTAACTCACCCTTTCCTGCCCTCCATTGAGATTTCTATCGCTGTTCTCCAAGGATTATCTTTTTGTTGGAAATGGTCAAATTAACAACTACTAAATAATTAATAAGATGCACTGAACTCGCTCGTTCATAATATTCATTAACTTGTTTATTCATTGTCACTCATGAATGGAGTTACTGCTATGCACCAGTCTCTGTCAC